ATCTTTTAGACTCTATTCTGTTTGTATCAGAGTCTGAATAACATTATTTTTAAAATGTTGCCTGATGATATTTAAATAAAGACAGTGGTGCCCAGTCCACGGTGAATGTGAATGTCAATGGTGTGACTACTTGTATTGGTTTGATCTGTCTGCTACTTCAGAAACCCACAAATTAAAAAAAAAAAAAAGGACATTTAGTGAAACGCTAATAACAAGCGTGGCTGTAACAGAATTTAAAAACTCTCTTCTTCTGTCACCGTTTATTAATAGACAAACCTCTCCTCCTCTACTTAAAAAAAAAAATTGGAGCCATAGCCACAGCTCTGATGTCATTCAGTGGAGCACTGAGCACCTGCTGCTAAAGGCTGCTCTCTGCCAACACGAACATATGGCAAACACACATGAATTCCGCCAACACGTTCATGTGCACGGAGACTCCTTCTGGTTCAGCGGTGTTTGGATCTGGCAGGTGTCTCATATTGTCTGAACGCCACATCCTTGTGCACGAATGCTCTGTATTCACACACCGAGACGAAGCACGGCAGTTGAAAAGCACCTGTCTTATAAAAATAGTTCCAAGTCAAGAGTTGAACAGATGAGAAAATTGCAACATTTGCCACTTCCTGTTATGTCTTCACTTTAAGGTCAGCTTGGTTTTTTGGAATGTGAAAATTGCAGCTTTTCAAACGCAGGCAGGGCTAGAAAGTCATGCTTAAGTTTTATTTATTTTTATTTTAATTTTTCATTCTCTCAGTCTGAAGAGCACACGGGGAGATAAGTACTGTGGATTTGGAGTAAGACAGGCAGATAATTGCCTCCTTTTCAGGGAAAGAAAAGAACGTGTTCACGTTTCACGTTAAAGTGCGTACTCTAAATACTACCTCAACAATCTTTTGAATTTCCCTTTTAAATAGCACCAATCCCTTTTGTCTGATCATAAAATGTGTGAATGTCGTCTCGGTTCTGGTTAGAAGGAAACCCCAAAAGCCTGTGGTTACATTTTCTCAGTGTTATTTTATGTGGAAATTTGGAGCTATTTGGAAATGACAGCATCTCAGTAATTTAGCCTTTCCAGAACAATTGTGTCTTTTTCCTCACCAGGCACTCAAGCCAAGAAAAAAATCACTCAGCTGCTGATTTTTTTTTTCATTTTAATTTCTTCAAAGCTTTTACTGTTTGACTGAGACACAGCGTTTATCTATAGTCTGATGATGAATGTGACTAAAATGCCTGTCCTCCCGCCTGCCATTTGTCTCTGTGACTGTAAAACAATATGGACATTTAAACGGCTTCTAATATTGTTTGTGGACTTTTCTCCTGTCCTTAAAATGCATATTTATATATAAAGGATGATAAACGAGTCTTTTGCTGCCTTCTCTGTTTACTGTTATTTCCAGTATGATCCAGAGAACTCCGGTTTCATCAGTACAGAGCGGTGCAGGGACCTGCTGGCAGCACACGGCTCGGAGCTGGATCCCCACAAACTGGAGGTTCTGTTAGCACTCACCAACGGCAACGCTGATGGAAAAATCTGCTACCAGGACTTTGTAAATCTGGTGAGACATGAAATATCGTCTGCTACAAAACTTTCATCCTGTCTTAAATGTATTATGTGTAGTAATAACTAGGGATGTCCGCCGATAATGAAAACTCAATACAGCAAAGCCCTTTCGCCATATGATGTGTGCTTTAAAAAGAGTTTTGGGGATAAACAACTGTATATTAAAGTGAAAGTCACTAGATGGCAGCATTGCAGCTCATTTAATTAATCTCAGACTCATACAGTGGTTTGTACAGATATTACTAGGCCCATATCGGTGTCGGTTAATTCTTTGGACATTATCGGATATTGGAAAAAAGTTCATATCAGACATCCCTAGTAATAACCATTAGCAGCGACTGTAGTTACAGTATGTTAAAACTTTTTTTACATGTACATTAGCTCTTGTTTCTAACTGTAATTTGTAGGAAATATAAGGACTTAAAGTGTCTTTTGTTGCATTTAAAAATTTAAAGAGGCTCATTTATGTTAGTTTCTATTGAATATAAACATGGTTATGACCAGACTGGGCTGAGGGACTCGAACGCTGCTCACAGCTCACAACAAGGCAGAAGATGATCAGTGGTATTCACTGCGTACAACAAATGAATGAAACAATAGCAGGAGGCAGCAGTTTTCATCACTCAGAGTGTTTTGGGGTTTGCGCACCACACCTGTGGCTGGGATTGGAACCGTCAACCCTCTAATCAAAAGTCCAAACCTTTTAACAGTAGTGGACTTCACTGATGGCTTGGGAAGTGAGTGTTGACCTTCTGATGAATGCCCCCCTCACTCTGCTCCAATTCTGAGGTAATTCTCCAATGATTGCCTGTTACTGATGTCTACGGTTCCACTCAGTCATCTCTGCAGCAGCTGCTCCTGTCGCCCCGTAACTGTCTCATTTTCTGAGAGAGTTTTTCTGCAGAACTACTGTCTTGAGGCTTTGTGGAAGAGTCCTGCAGGAACACTGGAGTTTTGTGCAAAGCAGCAGTAGCACTGAAGGCGGTGTGTGTTGTCTGGGAGGGTGATTAATTCTGGCGTGCTCCTCTGTTAATTGTTAATTTTTAAATACGGTGGGTGGGTAACGAGGCCTGTAGGAAGCTTGGAAATAAAAAAAACAAAAAAAAAGCCACAACGTTTTTCACTGTGGGCTTTGTCCTGATGCATTCGTGTCGTGTGACCTGCTGTGGGTCAGCCTCTGCTGCTGGAAGTGGGACAAAAGGGGAATGAGTTTGTGTTTTTATATTCACATTTTCTTTTCCTTTCTTCAGTCACTATTGTTTCCGCCCACTCCATTGATTTTATATTCATAGAGGCAGCTGAAACACAAGCTGGACACAGAGAAATACAAGTGTGGGAGAGAATAAAGACACAGATGTTACATGTGAGCACTTTTTTTTTTTGTTTGCAAAAATATGCAGAAACAATGGTATGATAATGAAGCGAATTTAAAAAAAACTTCATGGAGTTCATTTGATTTTGCTTCTGCTGACACTGCAGACATTTAGAATATTTTACTTTTTTTTTTTGAATTTTTCTCAATTTATATTGCTAAAAAAAGTGATACTCTAAACATCAGTACCGAGAGTCAGTGCCCGTGTGTACTGTAGCAGTTCTGTAGTCACTCTGGCTGAAGAGAAACATGTTTTTTAATTTTATGAACTTTATTGATCTCCAGAAAATTCCTGTGTGAACAGCAGATGTGCTGCAACAGGCTGCCCCCTTGGAGGCGCCAAGTATGTGGTTCCTCTAGGAATCGAACCCAGAAGGCAGGCGTGCTAACCGTTAGACCAGTGTTTCCCAAACGTTTTTTCTGGGGACCCATATTTTAAAAGTCATAAACCTTCGCGACCCAAGTCAATAGACATTATTCGTAAATTCCTGGGAAACATGATGCGAGACAACCCCCCCCAGCAAAAAAAATCTGAGGGCCGCGACCCAGTCTTTGGGAAACAATGCGCTAGACTATGGAACCACAATATCTTTAATATCGCCCAGCTACTGCATCTCAGAGGGTGTGATTATGACGGTGTTATATTCATTGGTTTGTTGTGGATCATCGGTGTCTTGCCAGCTGCTCTGCCTCCAGAGAGGTGCAGGGAGGAGGAGAGGACAGAGAGGAGCGGGTGGAGGAGGCAGAGGAGGAGGAGGAGGAGGAGGAGGAGGAGGAGGGTTTTTTGGGCCAGGCAGAGATAAATTGTTGAAGGGTTTATTTGTCGCACAATCTCTCCTTGCACCACAGCTCCTCCATCAGTGTGGCTGTCATTAGTTGCCTCCTCACTGCTCTGTCTCAGTGAGTGTTCAAATCACCGTTCATTCTTCTCCTGGTTCCTTAACCCTTATTTTGTCTCTTTACTCTCTGTCTGATTACTAATAACCACTATTTGTTTTTTAAATCCCCCAACAAACACACAACTCAACTCTCTTCTACGTCGTATTTAATGCAGCTCTTATCTTTATCTCCTTCTCTGGTTTTTTTCCTCCCTCGTTCCAAACTCTGTCTTCCTCTCACCAAATGTTTCTCTCCTCTCACTGTTCTCCATTTCTCCAATAATGCAGTCATCTCTTGAAGGCTGGACATCAATTTGTCCCCTTCACATCTCCTCCTCTGTTTTTTTCCTCCGGCCCGTGGGTAAACAGACAGGACGTCATTTTTTTTTCCTTTTTCCTTTTGTGTGGAACAAAGATGAGAGAAATTGCAGTCACTTCACACAAAGAATAGACTGTGGTTATGCAGCATGGCTGCCTCAGGGAGGTCTGTGTGTGTCTGGAGAGAGTGCCTGTGTGTATGTTGGTATTTAAGTGGCCATGGAAACCTGTAATCATTTTCCCACAGTTCTCTGTGCCTGACATAAAGACAGGAATAACTGGCTTTTTCTGAAGTTCATCTCCAAGCAGGGATTCCTGCAGTGACAATAAATGTCTCATTATTAAAGTTGACTCCATGTACTTTTCAAAATCACATCAGATATATTACACATTTTTTGACACTAAATTATGAATAGTGAGGAAAACTCACTTGGATTGTGAAGTTGTATAAGTCATTAAAATTCTTTGATTCTGTTAAACTGAAATGAAAGTTTTTCACAATTTCTTTGTGAAAACAATATCACAGCTCTAAAAATATCATCCGCCCTGAGACACAGCTGCGTTTCACCAACCTGGAGCCACAAACAAACAGCAGAATTGAGTTACAGATGGTTACATAACTGAACCAAAGAAATTTGGGGTTGTTAAATAAGACGGGAGACGGCCTGACGGAGGGAAATGAAAAGACCAGGAAGAAGAGGAAGACATGAGACAATGCAGCGTCATGGAGAGTCTTATAAAATAAAATGTCAAGTGCAATAACAAAGGCACAAAGCTGAGGGACGGCGGTGATTTAGGCACAGCCCTGAGAGTGCCACAGCGGCTGTAAAGCAGAAGCTGAAAGCAATAGTTTCATCTCTGTTTAAAAAACAATTTACTGTTGCAGAAACCGCCGGAGTTAGTGGGACCTCAATTATTTTACCGTGTTTTTTGCATCGTGAGAACGTTCACATGTATAGAAATTATAAGCAAGGGCTGAGACTGGGGGCCTGTTGTGAAAAATCAATGGAAGAAATTAATGCTTTAGGGAAAAAAAAAAAAGTCAAATTTACTGTAAAATGATAAACTTATGAATTAGTCATTAGTATAAAGGAAAAAAAGGTCACATTTACTGTAAAATGACAAACTTATGAATTAGTCATTAGTATAAATGTTGTGTTTATTTAAACGTGAGAACTCGAAGCACGGTAGAGTTTTCATATTTGAGAAATTATTCTGGATTAATATCATCTGTATAACATTATGAAGACAAAACTTTTCCAAACGATTCTACTACATTTGATTTGTTTCATGCCTTCAGTTCACTGTGCTGCTTTACAACACAGTGAACTGCGAGCAGTTTTTAAAAGAGATACAAATATCAATTCAGTAGCAGTACTGAATGTCACCTCCGGTTGTAAAGGAGGTGATATTGTGCTTCAAAGTTGAAATGACAGTAATTATAACTGGATGATGCATAAAATGTCTCTGAATGAAACTTCTCAGTCATGCACCACCTGTGAGTTTCCTGCCCTTCAAATAAGGACAAATGTACCTCGGGACGTGAGCATTTCATTGAGAGAAAAGTATAAAAGGAAGGGTTTGGTGGTTGCTAGGGGATGATGAAGGCATTCTCTGAGATGGGGGGGGGGGGGGGGGGGGGGGGGGGGGGGGCAAGGGCGTGTTGCCATCGACTTGTCATGAAGAGGTGAAGATCAGGTGACCATACATGATAAAAATAGAGTACAAATCAATACAAATCCTCCACGCTCATCTGAGATTCATTTGTTTTTATTTTCCACATTCTCATCCTGTAATTTTGTCAGTCCTGGAGCAGCGTCTTCACACTGAGCACCACAATACAAATGTCGGGAGTTTGTCTCGACAAATAAGTCCAGGGGACTCTGTCCATTTAACCACCTGATCAACCAAACATACAGCTGTTACTCCAGCAGACAACCTGTCGTACGTAGGTTTGGTCTGTGGACAGTCGTCAAGAAATCAGTAGAATTGAATGAGTAGAGAGCAGAAAATGGAACAAACATAGAAAAATCGAAAATTGACATAAATAAATTAACTTTTCACTTGAACAGCGACAATTACGAGCAAAGAAAACCAGCCACTTTTTTTTGTGTGTGAAAATTGCTATATAAATCTTTAAATAACTAAAGCAAAAAACAATTCTACAATATTCCCTCCAGAAAGGTATCTCAAAATTGTCCACCAGGACAGAAACCAAAAGCTGAAATGTATAGAAAACAACTTTTTAGCCTTTAACATATGGAGCTAGCTAAAACGAGATGCTACGTTTTAGTAAAACTAAATATAACAGGTCAATTTCCCAAACATAAAGCAGAAAGTTAGAGAAATGGAAACAAACAATCGGCCGGATGCTAAACAGTAGCTTTAAAAGAAGCTCTGAAACAACAAATA